CTTGGTAAAACTGCCCGAAAAAACAATACAGATATTTATCTAATCTTTCTATATATATATATATATATGGTGTCACTGTGATGTTAACGTGCTGTTAGCCTCAGGTGGAAATGCCGGAACAAAAACTTGCTAACAATTATTCTGAGTGGCAAACAGAAATATCATAAAATGGTTCGCAGGCAGAAAACAAACTATTTTCAATGTTTTTAACCGTCCGTGACCATTATAATTAAGATCTTCGACTGACCTATGTGATGTAGTGTAACCGGATGAAATATGAGAAGATCGGTCAATTCGGTCAGGAACGACGATCACTATTGTGAAGACAGACATATCCACAGTGCTAATGAATAGCATTGAAACTGATGCTGTTTTGAAGCATAAACCTCGCCTCCTACCTTACTGTCTGAGGAAAATTTTGAACATGCGGTGGTATCACATATCTGATGGCCTTGAATGAACAGTTATTCACGAACGCGACCACAGATTTGAGAAAATTGTCAGGAATGTTTAATGACGCCTCTCTTGTATTCATGAAACAGCTGAAATGGTGCTCGGAATTTATTTGAAACTTTCTTCTTAAAAGAATCGTTCACTGGAGTTAGATATCATGAAATGTTGAAGAAAAGATTCCAAGCAATTTATAAAAGCAGACCACCTCGTCTTTCACTTTTTTCTTTCATTTAGCTGGAAAGCAATCCAGAAAATTTGACTGCTATGACAAGTAAGCATAAAAATAGGTGCAAATAGCATCATAATTCTTTTGGGCCATTTGCTCTGATGAATCGATAGAGAAGCAGCATTAGACAAGGTCACCAACAACAGGGGTTTTTGACTGTGCCTGCAAATCACGAAGAGATGCAGTGTTTCTGATGAATTGTCACTACAGTCATGATGTTCGTCGTCGTCTTCGTCATCACCATCATGTAGGCGTAGTCTATGGGCGAACCCGAAGTATTTCTGGAATGTTCTTCTTTTGCACTATGCCTTTTCAGAACACAAAATGCGTAGAGCGCAGTAAAACAACCACATATTTCAGATATGAGCAGGAGTTTGTCCCTGCATCAGTGATCACCATT